ACTCTTTCCTCACCTGTGTTGGTGCATTCATTTCCCCATTCTACAAACATACATTGAACTCTTGGCTTGTGCTTGTTAGTGGTGATATAACAACGGGAAAATCGTAGGTATTACCCTCAGAGTTTATCATCTACTGATTTCACAAATTCATTGTCTTTATTAGCCATGACATGTGAAATAACTTCCTTCTTTTATTCATTCCTATGTTTTGCCCCAACATTTCTACACAATTAATGCTGTTTCACATCACATATATTAAGAGAATATCAATACTGTTGAAATTACTGGTAAAGTTTTGCAATTCCTTACTAATCCCAAACACCTCCTCCTTCTGATATTATCAATACTGTTTATAAATTAATATTTTTTTTACTCTTCTGACTATCTCAGGAAATATTCATTCCATAAATACTGTCTCAATGATTAGCCAAGCTATGATCTACTCTACCTTCTTCTTCATATCTCAGAATTACTTGGCCTATGTCATACCCAATGGAGCATGTAAAAGTTACTGGGGAAATGTTTATCTATTCTTCAATATAAAGTCACAAAGGGATATCCCAGTAGACTGCATTACTTCCTTATCTATGTACCTATGTTGTACTGAAGTAATGACTTTGAAATGGAAGGAGCTGAGTTCATGGTAAGTTTACTTAAATACATTTACTGAATATAGAGACATTTGTTCTACTTTTTTTTACTTCATTTAAATTTTTTTGACAATTAGTGAATGTTTTGACCAAGAGAAAGAATTTTCTTTTTTTTATTAGGACAAATTTCCACATACTTTTAAAAATTGTAAAGTACCAATAATATAGTTGTCCCCTCAAATGACTCTGCATCCAAACACTACAGAAAATATAAAGTTAACTCCTACCCACTGTATATGCAAATAGCAGGGAACAGTGCTCTATCCTTGGGAAATGTCCTTTAATGTATATATTGATTTCAGAGAGGAAGGGAGAAGGATAGATAGAAACATCAAAGATGAGAGAGAATCATAGATCGGCGGCCTCCTGCACGCCCCCTACTGGGGATCGAGCCCGCAACCCAGGCATATGCCCTTGAGCAAAATCGAACCCGCAACCCTTCAGTCCCCAGGCAAGCTCTCTATCTACTGAGCCAAGCTGTCTAGGGCAGGAAATGTCTTTTTTTATATTACTAACAAATATTTTATTGTATTTTCTACTTACTCTTGATGACAAGTCAAGGTTTAGCTTCATTAAAATGCTCTAACAAGGAATATAGAAGCCATACACATAGTTCGGATGGAATCATTTTTAGTTGATTAGCTTATTTAGAATTTGTGTCCATGAAACTTCTATTCTTTAAATTAACATTCTCAAACTCTCTTACCACGAGTACACATTTCACATGGCTGCACCATCAAAGCAATTCATTAGAACTCTACTGAAACATGGGATTCCGAATTTTACAAAAGTCTCTTTCGACGGTTTAAATGACATGTTATTTCAGGCTTGATTTTGTTGTTTTGTTTTTTGCGGGGAGGAGCAGTGTCTATTTTGGACTTTAGATTCCATGTCTCCATTTGTGTGAGCCTGGGTGAACACTGACACACAAATTCAACATTTAGGGAGAGTCAAACCTACAACCAGGACCCACCATTTAAAATGTGTGCACATTTTGGAATATAAGAAGCCTTAAAGTTTTGAAGGGTGCTAATGCAGACACAGGGTTCTGAAAAGAGACTTAAAAAGAAGGAGTCTTTCAGAGCTTAGTTTTAGGTTCAAACCCTAAACACATGATAAAATTCTGTGATGTATTTTATTTCTACTAAGATAATTCAAGGATTTAGGAGTCTCAATAATTTTCTCTCAGTCCTAATTTAGGAATATATGTATTCCTAGATAGAAAACAAACGTAACTTCTGTGGTTGGGCAACTACTTCTTAAGTGAATGAGTGATAAGTGACAATTATAATTACAGTAAAATATGGAAGGCTTTAAAAGTTTGAGAGTTCACATTTAAATAATCATGTCCAATCCTTGGGAAAGCAAATAAAACAAACTATGATAATTAGAGCTCAATTTTGTAGTATCACCACTAAAATGACCCCCATATTTAGGGTACACCTTAAAACTATTTTAAACTTTCTGCATAATACATGTTTCAAAACACATAGATTTATGAGAATATAATGCCTCTGAGAAATAATGTAAACAAACACTGAACTCACCTGAGCCGAAGTAGCTTCGTCCTTACCTTCGTGAAAATCTATGGGTGTTAACAAGGAACCATTTTTTTCACAGCTCTCATGGCTTATGAGTGTATGTGCATAGTTGGGCTGAGGGAAGATCAGGTGACTCTTCCCTGAGTCTGCAGTGAGGGAGACCTCATGGGAATAGGTCTGAAGGAATGCCTGTACTCCTTCCACACCCAGGAAGCTTGAGGCAGGCAAGCCCACCAACCTTCTGCCTGAAGCTTGAAGCGAACGAGACTTATGCCATCGCCATAGTCTGAGCGCCAGCAGAACAACCACAAAAGCAAGGAAGACACAGGAGATAATGGCCACGGCCACCACCAGGTACAACGTGAGATCTGAGTCTTCAGAGTTGTCAGGATTCTTCATGTCATCCAGGCCAGCCAGGACCTCTGGGATACTGTCTGCCACAGCCACAGTGAGCGTTACAGTGGTGGAGAGGGGGGGCTGGCCATGGTCCTGGACCACCACCACCAGGCTCTGCCTGAGCATGTCTCTGTCCAGCAGGGCCCGTGCAGTGCGCACCTCACCCGTGTGAAGTCCCACCACGAAGAGCCCTGGCTCGCTGGCCTTGAGCAGGCGGTAGGACAGCCAGGCGTTCTGGCCTGAGTCTCTGTCCACTGCCACCACCTTCGTCACCAGGTAGCCGGGCTCTGCAGAGCGGGGTGCCAGCTCCACACCAGTGGAACCATCATTGGGGAGTGAAGGGTAGAGAATTTCCGGTGTGTTGTCATTCTGGTCCAGAATGAACAGACTCAGTGAAACATTGCTGCTGAGTGGAGTGTCCCCGCTGTCCCTGGCAGTCACCAGTAGCTGTAGGTCTCGGATCTGCTCATAGTCGAAGGAACAGATTGCGTACAGCACACCGGTGTCAGAGTTGATGGAGACATAAGAAGAAAGAGGTGCCCCCATGATGGTGTCCTCAGTCAGAGAGTAAGTGACTTGGGCGTTCTTGCCACTGTCAGGGTCATGGGCGGTCACAGAGAAGATGGAAGCTCCTCTGGGGTTGTTCTCCGGGATATAGGCTGAGTAGGAGGCATGAGAAAAAGTGGGTGGATTGTCATTGGTGTCTGCCACATGCAGGGAGATCTGAGTTTCAGTAGATAAAGGTGGAGTTCCTAGATCTGAGGCCATCACTGTGATATTGTACATGGAGATCTTTTCTCGGTCCAAATATTTCCATGTCACTAATCTATAATAATTATCTATTGATTTTTCTAATTGAAAAGGTAAATTATCATGTATGTAACAAACAACTTGACCATTCTTCCCAGAGTCTCGGTCATGCACATTTAAGAAGGCAATTACTGTTCCAGGAAGAGTATTTTCCAAGACTGGGCTAAACAAAGATGTAACAATCACTTCCGGTCTATTGTCATTTATGTCTTCCACCGAAATGAGCACTTTGGTCCTCCCCATGAGAGCCCCCACATCTTCTGCTTGTATTTCCATTTCATAAAATGCACATTCTTCATAATCTAGACTCTTTGCTGTTGATAGTTCCCCAGTTTTTTCGTTGAGCTGAAATAACGGAGATTGTTTTTCACTGATTTTCCAGAATTTATATGCCACTTCTCCGTTGGTTCCCTCATCCGGGTCACTAGCTCTTACAGTAAGCAGCTGGGTGCCAGGAGCTGGGAGTCCTGCAGGGAGTTCAAGCCCACATCCGGGTCAACAGCCTCTGGGAGTGGATAGCGTGTGCCAGGCGCTGCGATTTCATTAATTTTTACTTCCAGGTTTTCGGCCTGGAACTTCGGATTATTATCATTGATATCAGTGATTTCTATTTCTATCCCCAAAATTTTTCCTCTATCTTCAAGGAGGATGTTGATATTTACAAGACACCGTGCGCTCTGAGCGCAGAGCTCCTCCCTGTCTATCCTGCCCGCCGTGACCAAGCTGCCGCTTCTCTGGTTTAGAGCAAAAAGCTGCGTCCTACCTCGGGAGACGATGCGGACTCCGTGCTTCGCCAGCTCTTGAGACTCCAGCCCCAGGTCCTTGGAGATGTTACCCACGAAGGATCCTTTGTCGCTCTCTTCTGGCACGGAGTAGCGGATCTGTCCGCTCCCAGTCTCCCACAGCCAACTCAGGAGCGCGCACAGCAGGATCAGCTCCCTGCGTCCTCCGGAATTCTTTGGAGCGGCCATTGTTCTTGCGCTATGGAATCCACTCGGAATCTTCATTGGGCATAAGTGTCTTGTTCACCTTTATGCTGCAGGCTCGGAGACCCCCTCGGAAAGCCAGATTGCCCAAATGTAGGACGGAGTTTCGCTGCAGCCCTGCCGTTGATTTGTGGGATTTGCAGGTCTTAGTGAGGTGAGAGCCCAGAGTATCCGGATGGCTTTTGGTTACATTCATTTCCAAGTTAGGTGAACAGCGGCGCTTAGAGCCCTAAACAGTTACTGCACCCACTTAAAATTGTAATACTGTTTGCTAGATTACAGAGGGGGAAAACACTTCTTGCTTTCTATAGTTTGCTTTGCATTTATTTAATTTGGCCCTGAATTTTATTTTAAAAGTAATTGCCAAGAAGTGTGGGATGAAGTAGGTTTTAAGCCTTACAAAGTATTATAAAGTGATCAGATTTATGGGTGAGCATCACATTAAATTACTCCTATTTCTGGAAGACATTTACTTTTTAAAAAAGAAATTATTAAATTTTATTTATTATGCTTTAAGGTTTATTATAAATGTCGTCAATATCTATTATCAAATAAGTAGAAGCTCCAGTTGTCACTGGCAATTAATTCACTCAGACTAAAATAGACCTTTTGAGATGATTGACTCAGAAGTTGTTTTATTTTGTTTAAACTAATTAATCATTATAGTAAGATTTTTTGTAGGTATTTGCTTCTTAATTTTCTTTTTCTTTTAAATATATTTTATTGATTTTTTTTTTTACAAAGAGGAAGGGAGAGGGATAGAGAGCTAGAAACATCGATCAGCTGCCTCCTGCACACTCCCTACTGCAGATGTGCCCGCAACCAAGGTACATGCCCTTGACCGGAATCGAACTTGGGACCCTTGAGTCCTCAGGCTGACGCTCTATCCACTGAGCCAAACCGGTTAGGGCTTAATTTTCTTTTTTTAAATGCCATTTTAAATTACACATTGATAATGTTTCAAATTAATATTGTAAAATGCTAACAGTTTAAGTTCTACTTTCAAGTTTTATCAGAGGTTTTACTGATTTGCTTCTTTATTTAAATTATTTATACTTTTTCTATTTGAAAGCACTTGAAAGGCACAAATGAATTTACAATGAAAAGTAAATGTCCATCCCATTTTTCACCAATGAGAGAGTATTTAAAGCAGACAATTGAATTCTTAAAGTAGACATATATTCTAAAATTACTTTTTAAAAAATATATTTCTTTATTCATTTCAGAGAATAAGGGAGAGGGAGAGAGAGATAGAAACATCAATGATGAGAATCATTGATCTGCTGCCACCTGCACTCCCCCTCCTGGGGATCGAGCCCACAACCTGGGCATGTGCCCTTGGCCGGAATCGAACCCAGGACCCTTCAGTCTGCAGGCCAACGCTCTATCCACTGAGCAAAACCAGCTAGGGCTCTAAAATTACTTTTACTTTTATGAGTATTTTGGTCAAAAGAACCACAAAAAGAAAGGAACACACATAATTATAAAAAAGTGCCCATACAATGTCTCCTCAATGTTTTGTAAAATGGCCTTTAATTGAAGCAGTTGCTAAGGGAGATCTAGCAAAACGCTGAAACAATGTGTTATCATCTTGAGTATATACTTGTTTACATACCAGGTAAGCAATTTTGTCTAAAATTTTAAGAATTCAACTCTACATTTTTCCTAGAGATAGTAGAATAACTAGGAGATGTCTAGCTTTATTAGTTTAAGGTTGCAAAAAAGAAAAAAGTTAAAAACATGAACTTTTCTTGGATGGAAGAGTCTATAGAATGAGCTTCAATACAGATTAATCCTGAAAAGCAAGTAGGAAGAATAAACTTTTATCTTCTGATGAGCATAATGGACCTACTACTAAGTCAAAAGATTTTCACACACACACACACACACACACACACACACACACACGTACATTGCATGGAGTTACAATGGGTCCATCGACAATAAAACAAAACCCCAGGTTTCTAGGTGCTTTTGAAACAAAAGGGGAAGCAAAAGAGACAAACCATTGGATTAGTATGAAAACCATAACAGTTAAATCAGTTAAGAAAAATATCTAATTTTACCCTCTTTTTTGCTTTAAAGCAGCGATTCTCAACCTGTGGGTCGCGACCCCTTTGGTGGTCGAATGACCCTTTCACAGTGGTCGCCTAAGACCATCCTGCATATCAGATATTTTTATTATGATTCATAATAGTAGCAATGTTACAGTTATGAAGTAGCAACGAAAATAATTTTATGGTTGAGTCACAACATGAGGAACTGTATTTAAAGGGCCAGAAGGTTGAGAACCACTGCTTTAAAGGCTTATTTAAATGACTACCTACTTTTACATTTATAGTATGGCAAGGCTGAAGAAAAATCATGAATTAAGTGATAGAAAGAAAAATTTAGGGGAAAAATCTCAAGCTTTTACAAGAGAACCCATTGCCTTGTATAATGTTTCCCTTTGTAGATAAACCCACACCCTCGATCCTTCCTAAACCTGAGCCTGGAAAGATATCCCTAAAAGACGCATAACTGCTCCTACTTGAACCTCCCTTGAAGAATGGTATGACAGTTTTTTGACTAGCTACAACTTTCCTAAGACCACCTTTAGATTTGAAACTGGATGTTTCCCTGTGAACATGGAGAACCGGGCAGACCAAAGGAAGCAGATTATGCATGAAGGAAACTCACCGGCTGGGAAGTGGACTCACTGGAACTACAAAGTGGAAATAAGGCCCCGGATGAATCACCACAAAGCATGTCTTGTCCTGAACTCAACTGCTCATTACATTTTAGAAAATTAAACTCTGTCTTCCCAGCTTGGGCCACGCACAGATTGTAGGAATAAGGTAAAGTCCCTTCACTGTAGTTGGGGGGAACCACAGGTCCAGACTTGACACAGAGACCAGGCTGAAAGCAGCCCCAGGTGGTGGGGCTGGAGGGGCGTCGCAAGCGCAGGGCGACCGCCAGAATCACCGCGAGGAGGAAGAGCACGGAGATCAAGGCCAAGGCCACCACCAGATAGAACTGCAGCTCAGCCTGGGGGTCAGAGGGCGTGGGGTGGTCGCTCAGGTCCGGCAGCGCCTCTTGCAGGCTGTCAGCGAAGACCAGGAGCAGCGTGGCGGCCCCCCGCCCGCCACGGCCCCAGCCAGCCCCTGTCCTGCCGAGTCCCTGTCGCCCAAAGCCCTCGCTGTGCGCACCTCGCCCGTGCGCAGCCCCAGGCTGAAGAGCCCGGGCTCGCTGGCCTGCAGCACGTGGTAGGACAGCCAGGCATTGTGTCCCGAGTCCGCGTCCACCGCCACCACCTTGGTGACCAGGTAGCCCGGCTGCGCGGCGCGCGGCACCGTGTCGAAGAGCGCAGAGCCGTCGGGCCCCAGCGCCGGGTACAGCACCCGGGGCGCGTTGTCGTTGCGGTCGCCCACCAGCACGCGCAGGCTCACGTTGGCGCTGAGCGCGGGCGAGCCCTGGTCGCGCGCCTGCAGCGTCAGCTCAAAGGCGCGCAGCTGCTCGTGGTCGAAGGCGCGCTGCGCGAACACCACCCCGCTGTGCGCGCTCACGGACACGTAGGACGACAGCGCCCGTGCCTCCAGGTCGCTGGCCACGATGGCGTAGGACACCTGGCCGTTGGGGCCCAGGTCGGGGTCGGAGGCGCTGACCTGCGCGATGGAGGCCGGGGGCGGGTTGTTTTCTGGCACGTGGACCAGGTAGGCTGGCTGCTGGAACACCGGGGCGTTGTCGTTGACGTCGGTGACGCGCAGGGTGATGGTGGTGCTGGAGGAGAGGGGCGGCTTGCCCCTGTCGGTGGCTGTGATGGTCACATTGTACTCCGGGGTCTGCTCACGGTCTAGAACTCCGTCTGTCACTAATTTATACGTGTTTCTCGAATAAATTAGCAATTTAAATGGAACCTCACCTTCTAATTTACAAGTAACTTCTCCATTGTCCCCCGAATCCTTGTCACGGACTTTAAGTAAAGCAATGTATGTTCCCAGCCCGGTGTCCTCCATAATAACGTCGGTGAGAGATTGCAAAATCACTTCTGGGATGTTATCATTTACGTCTAGGACTTGTATCTCCACGGTACATTGGGCAATCATTCCTCCGCCATCCCTTGCTTCCAAAACCATGGAATATTCTTTGACTTCCTCAAAATCTAGAGTATTTCGAGTAGTAATTTCCCCAGTAGTAGAATTCAGGTCAAACGGGGTGGTCTGGCCTGCTTCAGTGAAAGAGAAGGTGATCTCGGCATTGACGCCCTCATCCTGGTCGGTGGCCATCACTCTGAGCACAGTGGTGCCTGGGAACACGTTCTCCGGAAGGCCCGCCCTGTATAACTCTTGGCTGAACACCGGGGGGCTATCATTGGCATCAGTCACCAGGACTTGTATCTGAGCAGTGCTGCTTAGGGGTGGATCCCCGCAGTCCACGGCCGTCAAGGTCAAGTGGTAGGACTTCTGCTCCTCCCGATCTAACGGCATCTTCAATACCAGCTCGGGGTATTTGCTACCATCTGATTTCTCCTTATTCACGAGTAAGAAATGATCATTGGGACTGAGCTGATAATTCTGTAGTGAGTTGGTACCAATATCTGCATCATGGGCAGACCCTAAGATAAATCGTGCCTCGGGCTTCGCATAGCTGCTCCCGGTCCAGCCTGCCGCTCACAAGTAAGTCCCCGCGCTCCGCGCTCACAGTGAAGTGAGGCTTCTCAGAGCTGACGCGCAGTTGTCGAGTCGGTAACTCGCGGACACTGAGCCCCAGGTCCTTGGCGAGGTTCCCCACCACCGAGCCCTCGGGCATTTCCTCGGGAATGCGGTAGCGCAGCGGCTCAGAGAGCGCCGGGCAGAACAAAGACAGCAGGAAGGGAAGGAGCACTGGCCGCCGCTCAGCCCAGCCCCTGTCCCCAGCGCCGCGCCCCATCCCTCTTGCTCCCCTCAGCGCGCTCACCGGCCTGAAGACGCCGGAGGACCAGTAATGTCTGTGTCGCGGGTGTCCAGAGCCCCGAAGAGCCCTTAGTGCCTGCGTGGGGTCAGGGTTTCTTCTCTTCCAGAGGAGGGAGCGGTGGAAAGGCCAGCTCTAGCGAGTGAGCGGAGGAAAGCGAGCTGCGACTGCGCGAGGCGAGCACCAGCGCCCAGCTCTCCACTCTGGCCAACAGCGGCGCCCAGAGTCCGCACTCTGAAACTGCAGCCTCTGCTGCTTCAGGCTAAGGAGCTACAGTAAGTATCATCGTGCGCTGGACTGGACAATTTTTATGTCTATGTATTTATTAATGTTTAATTTGTATCATTATCCCATTTTAAAGTTTTAAGGAAATCACATAGATTGAATACATAAACTCTGTTAGTTAACGTAATTATTCCCCAATCTTCAAATCCACACTAGTAATAGATGACTATAACAGACTTGGTCAAACGATCTCGGAGTACAGTAATTCTGAATACTTATTAGTTAGCAATACATTGGATAAAGTTCTATGTTTCTTCAGCCTATCCCTCTCCGTCCCATTACACAATTATTTTCCTAGTTGTGAAATGTAACATCACTCCCCAAAGTTATCAGGGGAATAATATTTTACCTTGCAACACAAAGTGACTAACTCTGGTCTATTACCCTGAGTCATAGTTCTCACTTCTGTACCCATCTAACATCCCATGATGACTTCAAATAAAGATAGTTCCTAGAAAGTTTATTTGCAGTAGCTCATGAGTTAGGAGTTAGCCTATCCCTCTCCGTCCCATTACACAATTATTTTCCTAGTTGTGAAATGTAACATCACTCCCCAAAGTTATCAGGGGAATAATATTTTACCTTGCAACACAAAGTGACTATGGTCTATTACTCCGAGTCATAGTTCTCACTTCTATACCTATATGACATCCCATGATGACTTCAAATAAAGATAGTTCTTAGAAAGTTAATTTGCAGTAGCTCATGAATGTAGTGACAATTTCTCCCCTTTGTTTAAAAAATGTTAAGCATCTAATAAATTGGATAGGGTAATTTTCTTTTTCAATATGCCTGATAACCATATTTCTGCTTCACAGAACATTAGTAACATTGACTGTTCCACAAGTGACTATACATCTGAACACTGCAAAATATGTAAAATATACTCACAGTATTACACATTTTCTTTATATGGAAAGTATCAGCAAACACAACACTCTACTAGAAAAACTGTTTAAATTAACACTCAAAAGTTGCCGCAAACAAGATTACCTTGTCATCAACCCCTTCCAGATGCTAATCAATTGACGTATTGAACTGTACTGAAATGTTATACTTAGAGCAGCAATTTTCAACCAGCGTGCTCAGGTAGGCACACTGGTGTGCCTCAGAGTTTTAAAAACATGCAACACCTGATTATTTAGTCAGGGGAACTGACCTCTTTTCCCTTCGATTGTCAAATAAAAAATGACAACAGCCAACACTACTATAGGCAGCCAGTGCAAATGAATCAAAACCTATATTTTGTCAGATCAGCAAAAAATATAGTTTTCAGTGTGCCACATAATTTTAGTAACTAGCTATGCAAGCCAAGAGATGAAAAAGGTTGAAAGCCACTAACTTAGACTATAAAAGTAGTTACTCCCAGATTACATTATTTCTGACTGAATCTTTGAGCAGACCCAACAAATAAAGTCCAACTACTGGTCTAGGACTAGAGTATGTGACTGGTTGTTTCATAAAGCCAGCATCCCCAGGATCCTACTTGGAGAGCCCAGTCACACTTCACATGGCTGTACCACTAAAACTGCACAAAGGAATTTTGTGTTGAAACATGTAACTGCCTATTTCACAAGTGCCACTTACAATACTTGAAAAGACATTTCATTTGATGTCATATTTTATTGTTTTTGAACAATGACCTTCAGTGTGGCAGTAGACTCCATGCTTATCATTGATATAGAATGATTGAAACACACATTGATATAGTGAAGCTTGAAACACACATTTTTTTTCTTCAGGCATTTTCCCAACCTTCCACCAGGACCCAACTTTAGTAGATCCATATGCTTTAAATAGGTCAGGGAGCAAGTGAGATTTTTCAAGGTCATCAAGTTGGGGTACATGGAGGCAGAAGCCAGACAGAGAAAAAAAATCAGACTGAAACAATCTGCAAGAGCCTTTTGTACATCTGACCTACAGAGAATCCTGAGCAGTCCCTTCATTCTCCTTGATAAACTACATGGACTAAGAATATCAAATGGAAAATAGGTGGAAGGTATACAATGTGATATTCCACTTATTCATAATCGCATCCATAGGCATCCCCTATAGAAATGATACCAAATCTTATGTTAATAAGTGTTCCGTGTTAAAATATCACCACTGGAATAAACCATTTAACATGCTTTAACATTTTAAAGTTTTTTTTTTACCACATCTTCAAAATACTGCCTTCACAAAGCAATAAAGATATTTCCACAAAGTATAATTTCTCAAGAATATAAAGCTAAATGAATGATTGTACTCACCCGAATACTTTGAGCTTCATCCTTACATTCATGAAAATCTATGGGTGCTAAAAAGGGATCTTTTTTCTCACAGCTGTCATCACTGATGAGCGTGTCTGCATAGTTGGGCTGGGGGAAGATCAGGTGACTCTTTCCTGAGTCCGCGGTGAGGGAGACCTCCTGGGAATA